GTTGCGGAAGTACATCGAGAAGAATCTAGCCAAGAACTTCACCTGTCATTCAAAATCGTCAGTTGGAGCACCCATCTTATTTGTGAAGAAGAAAGATGGCTCATTGCGGATGTGCATGGACTATTTAGGCCTTAGCAAGATAACAAAGAAGAATCGTTACCCGTTACCCTTGATTTCTGGTTTCTTAGAACAACTTGGATGTACAAGGATCTTTACAAAAATTGATCTAAGGGGAGCTTACAACCTTGTACGAATCAAGGAAGGAGATGAGTGGAAGACAACGTTTCATATAAGGTATGGCCATTTTGAGTATAAAGTCATGCCTTTTGGTCTTACCAATGCTCCAGCGGTCTTTCAACATATGATGAATGACATTTTTCGAGAGTACCTTGACGATTTTGTTGTCATCTATTTGGATGATATTCTGATATTCTCCAAAAATGAAGAAGAGCATGAAAAGCACGTTCGTTTGGTCTTGGACAAACTACGTGAGCGAGGACTATATGCCAAGTTGGAGAAGTGTTTATTTCACCAAATAGAGATGGAGTTTTTGGGGTTCGTTGCGACTATGGAAGGCTTGAAGATGGACCCCAAGAAGGTGGAAGCAATCGTGTCCTGGAAGGTTCCGAAGATGGTGAGAGACGTACAATGCTTTCTTGGCTTTGCCAACTTCTATCGGATCTTCATCAAGAATTACTCTCAAGTTGCTGCTCCTCTCACTCGGTTGACATGCAAGGATAAGCTGGAATGGGGATCTCTAGCGGAGAAGGCGTTTTAAGACCTGAAGACCGCATTTAATATGGCTCCAATCTTAGTACATTCAGACTTTACAAAGGCCTTTTATTTAGAAACTGATGCTTCGAATTTTGCTTTGAGAGCTGTACTTTCACAAATAGGAGAAGACAAGAAGCTCCATCTGGTTGCATTCTATTCTCGAAAGTTCTCTGCTACTGAAATCAATTATGAGATCCACGATAAGGAACTTCTTGCTATAATGGATTCTTTCCAAGAATGGCATCATTTTCTTGAAGGAGCTGCACATCTAGTGACCATATACATAGATCACAAGAATTTGGAGTATTTCATGTCGGCTCGAGTTCTAAATCGACGTCAAGCTCAGTGGAGTATGTTGCTATCTAGGTTCGATTTTGTTATCACTTATTGACCTCGAAAGCAGCAAAGACTATTTGATGCCTTATCGAGGAGATCGTATCTTGTACCAAAGGCTGGAGAAGCAGCGTTTGATCAACAATGTACGATGTTGTTGAAGCCAGAGCAATTTCGGCTTTGCACTATTATTGTGCCAATTGATGCTAACTTCTTGAATCAGGTACGTGCTGTGACCATTAAAGATTCAGTAGCCATTGATATCAAGCAACGTGCCAATGATGATAAATTCAAGGTAGAGGGAGATTTTTTATACTTTGAGGAGCGGTTGTATATCCCAAAAAGACCAGCGCGACTCCGAGTTCTTCAATCTCGCCACGATTTTCCAACTGCGGGACATTTTGGATTCAACAAGACCTTGGAGCTTATTTCTCGAGATTTTTGGTGGCCCCAAATGTGGAAGGATGTGAAAGATTTTGTCTTCTCCTGCGACATCTGTTCAAGATCCAAGAATCCTCGGCATCGCACTTATGGACTCCTACAGCCATTGTCGATTCCATGTCGACCATGGTCTTCAATTTCCATGGACTTCATCACAGACCTTCCATCATCGAACTCATTTGATAGCATCTTTGTCATAGAAGATCGGCTTACAAAGATGGCGCACTTTGTTCTTTGCAAGAAGACATCGTCCAGTGAAGTCACAGCAAGGCTCTTTCTCGATAATGTGTGTCGATATCATGGACTACTAGATGATATCATATCAGATCGAGGAACCCAGTTCATATCAAAGTTTTGGAGATCTCTTTTTGAGATACTGAAGGTGGATATCAAGCTTTCTTCAGCTTTTCATCTTCAAACTAACGGCCAAACGGAACAGGTGAACCAAGTCTTGGAACAATACTTACGATGCAGCATCAACTATCAGCAAGACGATTGGACCACATATTTGTCACTAGCCGAGTTTGCATATAACAACACCCTCCATAAGTCGACTCAATATACACCATTCTTTTCCAACTATGGATATCATCCGAAGCTTGATTTATTGAGTCCGTCAACAAATAACAATCCAGCAGCTAAAGGATTTGCGAAACAACTGTCAGAGCTTCAAAATACGTTGAAGCTTCAATTACAATCTGCTCAAGAATCCTACAAGGCGTCTATAGATAGATTTCAGAATCAAGCATCTACTTTCAAAATTGGAGATAAAGCATAGCTTCTTCGACGGAATATCAAGACCAAGCGACCATGTGATAAGTTGGACTATCGAAGATTGAGACCATTTATCATCCAGAAGCAAATCAATCTAGTGGTGTACCGTCTGGAATTACCGGCTTCTATGAAGATACATCCAATCTTTCATGTTTCTCTGTTAGAGCCTTATCGAGAGTCGTCTTTTCCTAGAAGAGTACAATGTCCGCCACCTAGTACTGAGATCGAGAACCATGAGGAATACGAGGTTGAAAAGGTACTGGATTCACGGCGAAGGTGGGGCAAGTTGGAGTATCTTGTTCATTGATGCAGCTACGACATTAATGAGCGAACGTGGAAGCCAGCTAAAAATCTTGCCAATGCACCGCAAAAAGTACAAGAATTTCATCAACAACATCTTCATAAACCTAAGCCGGTTCGACGATAGCTTCCTTCTAAAGCTTGCTCACCCAAGATTATAAGAAAAGGGGAGAGCACCACCAAAATTCGTAGTTGATGTAGTTATTTTCTCCAAGATAAAATAGAATTTTTTTTCAGTAGCCATAGTTTGCTCTTCTGATATGGATAGCCAAGAGATAGATACTATGCTAATCAGATTATCTCAACCGACTAGCTCACGAAGGTGACTCCGAGATGAAGAACCGCCTACACCACGACGACGATGGAGGATACCGAGTAACCGATCACTGGTGATTGTATTTGAGTCCGAGCCTGCTTACGATGGTCAGCCAGAAGGCGTGTTTGCAAGACAATTTCACAATGAGGACACAGAAGTTCATGCTTGGTCAGAAGTTGAAGGAGTGGGCCACTACTGTTGGCTTCAAGGGCCGATGAACCACTTGCCTCGTGAACAACAGTTGGAGTTCATAGCATACATTATGCGTCAGATCTTTATTTTCTTGCATTGATACTGATTAACAATAACATTGTTTCTCAGAGACCTCGAAGCTAAAGGAGGGGGTGATGTTAGGGACATAATCCTTAGAACCTTCTAGAGACAAGTTTCTAGAACCTTCTAGAAGTAAGTCTCTGGAACCTTCTAGAAGCTTCCTAGTTGGTAGAAGTTGCTTGAGAAGCTTCTTAAATAGGAGTATATATTGGAATCGAGGCTGAAGAGTTCTTCAGTTTCGACAACACATCTCTTGGAGCTCTAGCTCACCTCTTTGGTGTTGTTCTCATCTGTTTAATCTAGCTCTTGCCAGTTCTTCTTGAACTTCTTGTTAGATCTCGAGTCTGTATTTCTGTATCCATGACATTGGCATTATGGGATTTTTTTTGGATGTGATGATGATATTAGATATGACTAATAAAATTAAAAATATTAATTATTTATATATCTAATGGAATAATATATATATATATATATATATATATATATATCTATATATTATAAGTTGGATGCAACTAATAATATTTACTTATAATTCTTTGCTAATATTATATTTGTTTTATTTAGAATGTTCCATAAAAATTTAACAAAGAATTAACATAATATAGTCTTTTACTTTATATTTTATTATAGATATATTTTTATGGTTTAATTTTCTATATATAATATTTTATTTATTTCCATAAATACTTTTATAGTTTACTAGATACTAAAATAGTTATACTTGATATTAAGAAAGTTTGATTTTAAGTTCTTAACAAGCTTCTTTATTATGCAACTATAAATCTTTTAGAAATTATACTTTCTATTTATAAATAAAATAGATTAACATAAGGATATTGGATGGTTGACAAAAAAATACAACTCGCATGGGTGAAAATTGTACATACTTATTATATAGATTAAAATATCACTATAATAATATAATATTAAATCATTATTGTTTACATATATATATATATAAACCAAATTATACAATATGAATTTAGAAGATAAAAATTAATTTTTTATGAGATTAGAGTAGTTAAGTTGGAAAAATATTATTTCTAATTAAATTTAAACTATGGATTTATTTCACTTATCTATTATATAAGACAACTTGGGCATAATATAAAGAGACAAAGAAATCTTTTCATTGGCCATAAATAAGGAAACATGAGAATGTAATGAAGATGACGAAGTAGATTCATGAAAACTAAGGAACATAAGAACAAGAGAACATGGAAACATGGAAACAAGAGAGTATGGATGAACAAAGAAATGGATGGATGTGCTAGAGATTGAAATGTCTAATGGCAAGCATTTGTACTAGTTTAATATCTTATTTTTAAAATTATGACTTATAAAAATAATTAATATTTTATATCTTTTCATCTTTTTTTCTTTATATACATATGTAATTATTGAATCAAACTACATTCCTTGCATTTTTTTCTCAGTGTATTTGAAATGTACATTTCTCTTGTTGTGGCCAAATTCTTTTTTAATCTTTAATGAAATTTCAAAAAAGTCGTATTTTATTTAACATGTTTCGTTTAAAGAGCATCAAAAATGAAAATCTTTTGATTGCATATTAGTAAGCAAGAGTCAGGTTCAACAAGCACTCAAACTGTATTCAAAGGAATTTTAAGTTTAAATTTAGATACAATTAGGTGAAGATTTGAAAGTGATATTCACTTTGATTTGATTAAAAGATTTCTAAACCTTCTGCTCTGGATACTTGAGAGTTTTTTTTATTGTGAAATATGAGTTGAAAATACATTTTATAGCACATTGTGACAAAACAGGGGGAGTTGAAGACATCAAGGTAGATTAGATACATATAAGTTACATGCACCAGTTCTTTGGTAATAAGCTACACCAATCAGTTCAAATATGGACTAGTGGCTCCAGACTCCTGCCCTTCAGCATTGGATTTTCTTATCCTTTTTCTAAATTTGAAGTCCTCCCAATTTTTCTGATCTTATCAACCCCTGTCTTCACTCAAACCTGAATACATTTCAAAGTTGTGTTAGAGTAATCTTTTCTTTGTTTTAACAAGACCAATTTTCTGCCTTTCACTTACAGAGGCTGTTCATGTTTGCATTGGGGAATAATACTTAAACTTTGCAGAAATTTGCAGAAATTGAATGCAGCAGTATGTTAAAATTTTGATGAAGCATCTATGTAATGATGGGGGTTAACCAAGTTTTCTGCTGATACCAATTCACTGGCATGTAGCAAATGGTCTTGAGTATTCATTCCTAGGCCAGCCTGGTCCATTAGACCAAGTCCCATTGGGGTGGCCAGATTACTTACTTGTCAAAGTGCCAGAATCTTTCAAGTTCAGAACCAGGTTTATGCTCTGATCATAGTATGCCATTGATGGATCAGATGATCAGTGATGCTCTTGTAGAATTTTTGCTCCATATTTCTCATGGACCATGCCTTATCATTATTGTTGCCAATTTTCTGGAAGGATCACAGCACAGTGAGTGCATCTGGTCTCTAAAAGTAAGTGAGATTTAGATTAAGTACTACTAAATGAAAGCCTATTACAAAAACACTCCAAATATGTACAGCTTAAGCACACTGAGCCAGATTTCTTGTATGTACAGCACTAGTTTAGGAGACACATACTACTAGCAAAAACGCTACAAAGGTATGATTCTTAGAATCTTTAGACAAAGACTTTTATGTATAGGTTGGTTGTCTTCGACGTACGGATCAGTACTGGAAAACTTAGCATGTTTACAGAAGAGATTTTTAGAGAGTTTACGCATCTTCCGTCATCAGACAGAACCAGAGGCATTCCTACAATTATAGCCAGCACGTGTGAGGGTTGAATCAAAGCCAAGGGAAGGACAAAGTGCCCTAATCCAACAGAAATTCCATTTCTTTTCAATCTCGAACTCTGTTATTGAAGAGGTAGTCATCAAAGTCAAGTGGGTTGAAAATTTTACCTGTCACAAGGCAGGCATTCTATTCGGGGTCCCGGGGTTGAACCGTATTCTTAACGGTTCTTTATCTGTAATCACGAAGAAAGATTCTGTTGGCTAGGGTAAAAATTAGTCGAGTCACTTACTTCTCGTGAAGTCAGCAATAGAAATTACTAGAGGGTGGAAAAAGAATATACTTCAGTAATGACCATTCAAATGATGCAAGTTTACGAAGTAAAATACCTGCAACTTGAAGAAAGGGCTTCTTCTCATTTTTTTTCATTAAGATATAATGATAATTTGAAGGTGTGTTGAACGATGTTTTATCAGTCGTCCCAAATGCCAAATTAGATGCTTCTTTTCTTTCTGCAACACCGAAAGAAATCGAGAAGCGTTAATCAAAGGACTTTAAAAACGGTACCACTTCATGACATCCAATTTGCAATTATTACAAACATTAATTAAAGAATGAGACAATTACATTGAATATAGCTAGCTATGGGAACCGCCCTTTTCGAATATTTCGTCCGCTTTGTCCATTCCGTTCGTAATGACCGTAGTGCTCGGAGACCTTACAGTCCTCTAACTGAGCATTCCGATCGGCACTCTTCCTCCAGTCAAGGGTCACCCCCTCCTCATGCCATCGTCTATGATTGGGGTTATCCATTTTCTTGCAGTGATCAACATCTTTGTTGATTCGACGACCATGTTCATTGTTGTGCCCATAGTTTTGTCGTTGGCCCCTGGAACTGTCTGGTGCATGGTATTTGTGACCATCTTCACGCGAAACTTTCCGTTGCGACATGTAGTGATTTAGACAATTTTCATCGTACATCTGTTTCCTGCGCTCTGTATGGTCCACTTGCTCCAACTTTGCTTTCTCTAGATTGTGGTAATTTCCACTTATGTCATGTACTTTCAATCCCGTCTGTGTAGACCATGTAACACCGGGCTGCAGCTGTGGTGAAAACAATCTCAGAGCAGTTATTTCTCAAATGTTCCTTCGTATATGCATAACTAGAATAATAGAAGACACAATGATGGGTTTCAAGACGGTGATAAGATATTGGGAGAAGATGTTCGTCACCTCCAATGCACATAGAACTAAATTCCACTAAAAGCGGTTTGTTAACTACATCTTGTGCAACCTACTAACACTTCTCCCTTCATATCTCGACCCAACTGTTTTACCGAGGCTTTCAGTTTCTATCTTTGTTACAATCTTTTTCTAAAAGATTGTTCTTATCTTTATAGATGCCAAGTGTAGACTGTACCTCAGACGTATTAACCTCTGTGGATTCTTCCAACAGTTTCATACGTCGTGTTAATGCTGCTCGCATTAGCCCCTCCGTCTTTCTCCAGCACTGTTCCCGTTTCAAAATCTCATCTGTCCAGCCAAGTCGTTGAAAAATAAGTGAAGTTTGTCAATCAGCGTAAACACTAATAGCAGTATTTCTTGAAAACAAGGTTTATATCCCCCAGCGGGCTGCCATCCAGCATGTTCTAATAGTAGTTTATCAACTTTTGATATCCCTCAATGTCGAACTGCTCTTATTTCTTCACCAGTTGATGTTGAGAGCATGAGACCTTTATAAACTGGCCAAGCATCTGTTATTAAGAGGATTACCAATTTTTTCCAAATAAAAAGTACACTTGATCTACGACGATTACAGTACAACTAGCTGATACTAAGGTTACGTAAAACTACAGACAAAACAGTCCACCTTGAATAGAATTATATTTGGCGTCAAGTTCAGAACAGCATCCCTCAACATTACGGGGAGGTTCCAGAGGAGATAATACTCGTGGTTGTGCTGCAGTCGGTTGTAGCTGTTCAGGAGCAGATGGACCAGCAGGTGGTAGAGTTTGGACACTTAAAGGGGGAGGGTCAAAAGAATGATGAAGATGTTTAGAGGTTGCTTGAGACTTCTGCTGCTCTTGCTGCTCGTGCTGCTCTTGCTTCGGCAGCACTTGACGCTGCTGTGAGCATATGTCTGGCATCTCAACTTCGATAATCTGCATAAGTATCGAGTGCTAAGGAAGAGATATCACATCTACTTGTCAATTGCTATCAGACTAAAAACAAAGAAATTCATCAATTTAAATACAGGAAATTTTATCTGACTTTTAAATAAGTCTAAACCAGTTGTAAACTAAAATTTGGATTTATTATACACTGACCAGGTGATACAATAGTCTAGCACATAGCAGTATTCACTAAAAGCGCAAAATTTGACCCGCAAGATTCTAATGCAGTATTGAAAATTTTCTAGGACAAAAGATTCTCAAACACTTCGGTAGCCTTCACGTGCCCCATATGATGGTTTGCGTTATTGATTACCTGAATCTTTTCAAAATTCGCATGGTAAACACTGGCATTCGACAACTGCTCTGATCCCACGCCATCTAGCAGGATATCGTCAATTCTAAGATCCCCAGTACAGAACCCTTCACCAGATGCACCACCCTGAGAAAACTCGTAGGGTAGGACTTCTACTGGAGGTGTTAAGGCTTCAGAAATCGAAGCAGCCCTGCCAACAAAGATAAGAACTTGCATGAGAATATCTATGAAATCTTAAGAAAAACTCGAAGGGACCTCTTCAACATTTATTTAGTAAAAAACTGACATAAATCAAACTTGCGAAGATAGATAAAGATAAGGCTGCATGGTGGAAAGTATATCTCACATTCGTCCATCTGTGTAATCCTGTAGTTGGGCAAGCGCAGTCTCAAGCTCATCATTTCTTTTGTTAACGTCTTCGAATTCTTGCTTCAGACCCTCGTACTCCTTTGTCAGCCTGACACAAGCAACTCAAATTTATCAAGTATATCAATTTTTTCTTCTCTATAAGGCAACTATGCTTCTTTGCCAAACTTTTATTAGTTTACTTACCATTTGGGCAGAACTTTCCAACGGAGAAAAAAGATCACAATGGAAGAAAGGATTATGTGTGCAAGTAGGCTCTTGATTCAATGAAAGTTACAGTATATGAATTTTTACCTTTCAATTTCCTGAAGAGCCTGCCGGTATTCGTTATTCTTATTACTTAGCGCGTTATCCTTGCTTCGTAAAGACCTTTGTAATTCACGCATGCGTTTCTGGATCCTGTGCATCACACCTTCTCTATCGTCCAAGTCCTGTTATATGCCGCCAAGTTTGCTAAAACTCAGTAAGAACATTCTGACAAGGAATTGAGCGGCCACGAACATACTTTTGCTGGAAGAAAAAGAAATTTGAAAGATTATGGTCTAAGTTTTCAACATATACGATATCCTTGGGGTCGCCACAAATGCATTGTAGCTCTTTCTGGGGAGACAGACTCACAGAAATAAACAAAGAAAATCTCATATGATCCCAAGAACCACATTCTATTGCTCTCAGTGCTTTTCAAATTCCCTTTCTCTCCCTCATTTATGAAGTGTCAATGCAAGAGGTTATTGCTGATTCAGAGACTTAACCTACTTTCAGAGCACCTTCTTGAACATTGCTGAAGTCATCTTTCAGCTCCATTAATTTCTGCAAAGCACAAGAAGTAAAGCATGCCTTCATTTCAAAAACAACTTTACCAACAATTGACTCGAGAGTTAGCATCTTGCAATTCAATAAAACCAGGTTGTGTTAAATAAAGCGTTGGGGAATTTATTACAAAGTAACACAAATTCTATATTACCCTCGTTTCAGATCGATGCTGTCCTCTTTGCTGGCCATCACAAGAATCTCCACTTTCAAGGGCTTTTATCTGATTATGCATCTCCGACAGTCTCTAAACATACAGGAGATATTTAAAGTTAAGAGAAGTCCAGTAAAAACAAGTTCTGAGCAGCACACAGCTAAGTGACTTTTAGAATGACCTTCGAAACCTGTCACAAATTTCAAGTACCTTTTCGACAAGAATCTTTTCGTCTTGCACCTTGTTTCGGGACACTTCTAATGCTTCACGGGCGGCCTCTTCTCTGCAACACTACCAGGAATTTGATTCTAAGCGCCAAAAATGTGACTTGCAACAACGGATACATTTTTTGAGAACCAAATTTTTGAAAACGCAACCAGGAAATAATATGTTTGCCTAGTACCAAGGTGTTTTAAAGTCCAGAGAAGCACCTTGAGTTGTAGGAGATTCTATAAGTTACACACATCGATCAGAAGTAATTTCAAGCGAGCGAACAGCATCTGAGACGGGAATTGCATGTCCTAAGTGCGACGCTACCAGTACTCTCGCAGCATGCAGCAGTCTGACTAATCCTCATTTCAGTAGCTTCTCATCATGATTAAGTATATGAAGATGGTTGAATCACTCATACAAAGTTACACATCCGCCAGAACTATGTTAAAGCTGGTGATCATACCGTGCTAAACTAGACTGAAGTTGTTGCTCCGAAAGTTGCAACTGGGCAATTATAGCATCACGCTTCCACAGCAAGGTTTTCACTTCTTTGCAGTAATTTGACTGCATGTTAGCCTCCTGTAAGCAGGAGTTGACTATTAGGAAAAGAAGGAACTCAGCAGGCTTATTTGCACGATGGCGAAGCGAAAAGATGGAATTACATCACAATTAGAAGGTCTGGTCAAGAGCATTCTATTTACAAAATAGCTCAAATCAGTTAGAACAAAGACCAAATTGTGTGTGCACTAGAAGTTACAAAGTTGTAACAAGAAAGTTGAGAGCTTAACCTCTTCCTTCTCCTGTAGAGCTGCTTTTAAATCTTGCACTCTTCCATTCATCATTTCTAGCTGCATAGAAAATGAAAAAAAGTAAAAGTAAACTCACAAAAGAAAAAAAAAGAAGTACAAATCACGTGGCCGCTGTTTTGATAATATCGGGATAATAGCCTAGGAGAATAGATTATAGATAGCGCCACGCAACGGAAATTTTTTGACTGTGCCTTTCAATGTACAAACATAGCAAAACAAATTTACAGTGCTCTAAAACCAGGACGACCGATAAGCAACAAAAACATTTCTTTTGAGTTTTGAAGTGTAGGATGCTTTGCCTCCATTATGAACTACATAATCAACGGCACGAAAAAAGAAGAAAAAGCAAGTTCAACTGTCACACTGGATCAAACGCATGCTGCTCAATCAAGAACCTGAATCTGGTCAATTTTTACTGACCTTCTGAAATTGACTTGAGCACAAATTTTCCTTATCATCAATGCGTCGTTTCATTCTGGTGATGAGCTTCTGCTGCTCTACCAACTCCTGCACAAACTGTGCATTTTTGGCCTCCAAAAGAGCCACTTTGTGATCTTTCTTCTCCGCTTCCGCATTCTGATGATAAGTATGAAAGGTTACCAACAGAATTTATTTCCTAGACGGTCATTTCATGTCGATTCCTCAAATGCTAAAATAGAGTCTACTGACCGTACACAGTAGCAGAGATGGGTAAGAAAGTCACGTTATATTTCGTGAAACTCACGTCATATGGATTCAAAATCTCTGTTTTTACACTGAGGTTCACTGCGTTGCCACTCGTAGGAATAATGGTGCGAAACAGATAGGCGTCCGTGTGAAAAGCAGGTAAAATGTGATGCTTACGGTGTGAAGATCAAAGTTACATGGATATTGCTACTATTCATAAGATCCTGATTCCGATCGAGAAATATTCTACCGAAACCCAAGTGCTTTTCATACTTCTTTTCATGTATGAGAGCTTAGAGACATTCAGAATACCAATTAAGGTTAGATCAAACAACTCTTAAAAAAACTGACCTCTTCCTTTTGTCGTTTCTTTAGAGTATGTAAATTTTCTTGATTCTCTCTCTCTTGCCTGCAAATTGAGGATCAAGATAGGACTACTCCAATCAAAACACAACAGACAAATTCATGGAAAATCTTATCCTGAAACGAAACATGCATATACACCCTAAAAGTTCCTAACCACTTAAGAAATAATTCGCTGAAATATTCAGTCTCCGCTACCGCCACTTCAAATGAGAAACAGTAGGAGATGCGAGAAAAGCAACTGCAGCGTAACCAGGTTTAGGTTATAAGGAAAATGATGATGCTCTGAATTGGAAGAAAACAGTTTACTCAATGTATAATACAACCAAAAACTCTCTGCCTTACATACATTCAGAATCTAAATTTCGGTAACGAAACCGTTGTGAAACCTAGGTTCCATCTACAAATAGCGCATCTGAGACTTCAGAAACCTCATCTACGCATCCTTGTACACACCCAGAGCTTTAAAATAGTTGTTAACGTCGACATAGACTTAAACATGATGGGGTGATCAGGAATAGAAAGCAGGGAAGTCGTCAGTTATGTGGAATGCACGTGACAACTCATGAGAATAGCAATAGAACCTGTCAAGCTGAGATTTCATGTGTTGTAGTGTCCTGTTCAGCTGCAATATAACTCTGTCTTTTGACTTGAGAGCCTCCTCCCAGTTCTGACGTGCATCAGTCGCCCGATTGAGGAGAGTAATGTGTTGTTCTCGGAGCTCCACAAGTTGTAGCTCTTTCTCGTTTAAAGCAACCCTTAAATTCAACAACTGATTACCATGTGAAAAGTGTCCAGCATGACCCTTGGCGTACTCTGGAGACGCTTTGATGAAATTCGATGATGACTTATACTCTGGTGGAGTGTTGATGAAATCTGGGGTTGTTTTACGCTCTGGCGGTGTAAGAACATAATCCAGAGTCTCGTTCGGAGGCCCTGGCAAACAGCCGCATCTTTGGTCACTACTGACTGAGCTGATCCCATCATCAAAGCATCCTCCGTTCCTGATACCGGAATTACGTGTGAGCGTGTCTTTACTCCTACACATACTTCTGCCGCCATTTCGGAAACGAACCTTTCGATGTTCCTGGTTGTGGCACTCCTCATATTCTCTATTGCCACTGCTCTGCGGGGGTAATCTCCTATCGAAATGATCGCCATCACAGTTGACATTCGGCTCAGAACTATGACTTGCCCGCATTGATTGTCTGCCCAAGGGATCCTCATTATACCCTCGATTGGGATCAAGATGTAGGCTGGACACCTCAATGGGTCCGCTATCGAGGTGGACGGCAGAGTCTCGCTTGCAGTGAAGCTTGCCATTTGGGGTAAACATGAGCAAGCAAGTTGCAGCTCGGAGCTGCTCAATGGCAAAACGGCAGAAGCGAAAGCATCTGAAGATGCAGATTACAAATTCTTTGTGTAACGCAGATTATACTTGCGAGTAGGTGTGCCTAGGCTAGAACTCGAGAGACTGATAGCCACTGTCTATAGCATCCGCGGTCATTGTAAGTGTGTATGTAAAGCCTATGAGTATCTGCAAGTAAATACTCTTTGCTCCGAAAGGACTGACACAACAGTAACACTACTCTCATTGCGCCCTCTGGCATACAAAGAACAACTCTTCAAAAAGATGTCATCCCATTCGAGCAGCCTATTGCCTCACAGCACCTCATGCAGCTAAAATTTATCCAAGGTATAATCCGAGGTGCACACACACTCGAAACTACCTCCACAGAGACTCAAATATTCAAACGCCCGAGTGCTTCAACAACTGCACGAGTGGCTTGGATTTACTTGCACATCGGCTCTTAGCCAGTATCATTTCAACTTCCGCCCCAGTCCTCCACCGTCTCGCGTGTGGCTCCAATCGCAGCATCCCCAACGTCAAAGCTGTCTCACACACTAAAAGATGCTCAGATTCTCCACACCTCACCCTGCAAAAAATACGTCACTCTCCAACTCCTGTCAACGTCCATTTCCATACGTTTTCTAAGATTGTAAATCCAACTGAACGTATCAATCCGCTCAAGATCTGCACTAGATTCTTCTCACCACAAACTCTGCCATCCGAAACCTCCAATTACAACAACAAATCATACTTAAACTCCCTGCTAAGCCCTCGAAAAAACTCGACATCCCCCGCCACTCTTCTCCAAGGAAGCTTAACACTAACTGAACCACAATTTGCTGAGGAAATTTGCCCTAAGGAGCGCTGAGGAGCGTCCTTACTGTGACAGAGCATGCAATTCTGTGCTCTTCTTCGGCGCTCTGCAATTCCTGTCAACAGGATGCGCGTTGCCACAATCGTGGAGAGTAACCGCTTCTCACTCCCCTAAGGAGGACGTAAGCCCGACTAACTCGTCACCCTAGTACGTCGCCCGTCCCCGTGCCCGTACTTAGACCGAAATCCGTGCTCCTCACTTTCTTTGTTCGACCTTGTACCTCACCAAATTGTCGACACATTTACTCCTCAAATTAATTTTATTCATTCTGATTTTCATTTTGAGAGGTTTTGGTTTAAAATTATCTTTCTGTAGGAAGCAGTGGTGATGAGTGTTACCAGGAAGAGATTAAAATAACATGTGATTTTAGTATTACACCATTTTTATCCAACTCTATTAATTACAATCATAGGAATTAAATGATAATCTATTTATAAAAATAAATTTATAATTATTTTGAAATTTTAAAAATATATATTTTCCAAGAAAAAATAATTTAAAAAATTACATCGTATAAATATATAACAAAATATATTTTACCTTTTAAATTAAATTCAAAATTTCTTTTTATCATGTGAATTATAATTTTTTATGATTTTCAAAATTAAATCAGGACTTTTTTAGTAAAAGATACTTAATATATCAAAATTAAATCTTGGTCACGATAATTTACATTAAAATAAGCTGTTATCTGACAAAATGCATGCACTCCAAATTCTAAACCTTAGAAAAACATTTAATCCTAATTTTAAACCCTAAAAAAATTATCTTAAATTGGATTTCTATTCTAAAATCTATAATCTCATTTTAAATTATTTATTAACTTTAGATACTATATCTAAGATTTTTTATAAGATCTAAAAACTAAAACACATATTTAACTTATAATATTTAAATTAGTATTTATGAGTCTTTTTAATATTTTAAATACATTTCTTTAAGAAAAAAGATCTATACAGGATATTTTAGAATACTTTATGTATTTTATAAAGCTATTATTCATAAAAATTCATACAAATATTATTTATTTTAATAAAAAATCTAATTTATATACACATCTCTCTCTCTCTCTCTCTCTCTCTCTCTCTTTATATATATATATATATATATATATCTATTTGTTTATTATTAACATCTTTGTGCAACAAAAATATCTTGCTCATATTATTTAAGACAAATTCATTTAGATTCTACTTTAAATTATATTATTTATTTATTTATTAGAGATTTTTATTTATTAATTGATAACTATTAAAGATATCAATCTACACTAGCTTGTTAGAAGATAATATCCTAAAAAAACCAAAAATTAATAAAAATGAATATACACACAAATATATACAATGATATATATTGGAAGTCTTTTGAAAAAAAATTGCTGCATGATTTAAAAACAATTTTACACATTTCTTTTATTTTTTTATGTATTTTTTTTTAAAAAAATACTTTTTATTTTCCTAATTAATTATAAGAAGATCATAAAGCATTTAATTAATTTCTTGATTGGAGTAAAGGAGCCGTAAGATATTCTTTCTTTGTCTTATGTTTCAACTAGTATCCTACGTATTTGAAGAAAAAAAATAAAATAAAATAAAAAAATATGATTTTCTACGAAGAATATCTATATAACCTATAGTAGTTAAGCTAAAGAACTTATTTAATTATTATTCTTAATTTATGTAAAACTTTAAAATTATAAATATAATATTAATTACCTTACAAAATGACATTTATTTTTAATCCTAATAATTATTAATCCTTCTATTTTATCATATTCTTAAAAATCTACTAAAATTTGTTGTTTATATATATATTATCTATTAATAACTTGTTTATTTATCAATTGAGGTTCTTAAAGAAGTAGAAGCTTGATACTTATATGCAAACATCAAATTGTCATGATATAAGTTGGGTAAATATTACAAAGGAGCATTTATACATACCTAATGTTGCTTTTAATATTTAGCTAGTATAATATCTCTTCATAAGTTGCAACTATATTAATAACTAAAATAAATTTAATGAATAAAATAAAATAAGATTAGATAAGGTTATTAAATTAAATAAAATAATAAGATGTATTAGTTAACCATATATATATGATACTTAGCATTAGACAAAATAATAAAAATTATCTACTATACCAAAAAGATAGTGCAAAAACATAATTTTAAAGATAAAAAATAAATTGTGGAATATAGATTAATAGTCAATCAATTTGGATCTTTATTTGTCAAAATAGAATTGTTAAGTATTTAGAGTGTTTTAAAAACTTAAATAAGAAACTATGTTTACTATATATATATTCTATTTTGATATAGAAGAATACAACTTTAGATGTTGAATCTTAAAATAATCATTCATATAAAATCTCATAGATTTGTAATTTACACATTAAAGTATTTTAGGCTAGTGATTTGATTAAATGACATTTTAGAGTAAAGCATAAAAAATATTTAGCTTAAAAGAATCTAACATGTTTTTTTATCCAAGAATAGTTAATTTAGAGGATTAAATTTCAACATAGGTAAAGATGATAGATTAAAGAGCAAGTGATAAGAGAAGTAGAGAAAATCTAATTATTCAAGATTTATCATCACAAATAGACTAATGTTTTTTTGAATGAAAGAAAATTTTCATAATAATGTTCTAAACCTTAGAGTTTCATCTTTAAAACTAGTTTTTTTTTTTTCTTCAATCTAATTTAATGCATGTTTTATAGAGTAGAGAATTATTTCTTTAATCTATTGTTTAATTTCGGTTCTTTTTTTATTTTTTTATTTATTTTTCAATCCATCACTTGCTCCTTCTTTCTATGATTTTTATTTTTTATTTTTATTTTTTCAATTTTCCTACAATTGGATAGCATAATTGTTTCAGGTATGTTTTTTCTATTCTTATTTTGAAGACAATTAATCTCATTGTTAAAACCACACCTTTCTACTCATTCATTCCATCATTTGATTGTCATTCTTTTTTTCTTTCTTGTTGCACATCTTGTCACTTTCTTCCATACCTTTCTTCATTATTGTATAAAACTTGTAAAATTAGATATATATTTATTTTATTTACATGTGTGTTTTTTTTATTAGTAATTCTCTTGCATTTGGACATAAACAGTTGAAAAAAATATATTTCTGTTTAGTTCTTCTATATGGCCATATTCCTAAAATTATTTTAGTACCATGTTGTAAAATTTCTTTGACTTGGTCATGAAACTCAAATAAAAAAATTACACTTTAACTATAAAAACATTTTTAGTGCTAAGAATGCATTTTTATATGCATTTTCCTATTTGGGCATCATGGTATCAAAGAAATAAAATCAACCAATCACCAGACTTCATTTAATAAATGTACTTCTTATGTTTTAGTTCCCGTTTTTCTTTTTCTTTTTTATTGCATCTAAATTAAATTCTTATTTTCTGGTAAAATAACTTGTACCTTTCATTAGTGGGCTTATCTGGTTTTAAAAACGTATAAGTAAAATTTTAAAAATTGGTTGTAAGTCTTCAACTTTTCTAGGCACTATTCAATTTGAATTCCAACTTTTCTTTTCAAAAAAATCATCTTTGCAATACAAAAATCAAAGAGTATAAGCTTGTTGCATAGCAATTTCATCAAGGCCTTTTAACTTTGTCCATGCTTCAACATGTCCCTTTAATGTGTGGTGTTCTCGCAACCTAAATTAAAACATACAATGAAAAATCATAGGATTTGTAAGAAAATACTGTTTAGAAATCACAATGCCATGATTTTTTCAGTTCTATCAAAGAATTCTAACAAACCAATAATCAAAAATTAAATAATTACTGCTTTTGAATAATCCTTATGATACTTATAATAATAATAATAAGAATAATAGTGTATCACAAGTCAAAAATATTCAAATTTGGTTTCTTGGGCTACAATTTGTCAAAATTAATTTTAAATTTTGGGTGAAAAAAATTCATACTTTACAGATTTCCGTTGGATATGACAACATTCTTCATAACACAAGATATTCAGTGTTGTATTAAGAAGTAAAGCATTATTATGCAACATATGTTTACTGAAAGTTCTGAATGTTACTTTGCCATTTCTGCACGCCGACGAGCTTGATTGGCAACCTCCCAACTTTTTAAATTAGTGGGCATACCAGAGCTTTGCCCTAAAGTTAGCGGCTTGAGACCTAACAAATACATAATGTTGATGAGCTGATGTACAATTCAACTATTTAACATTATGAATTTAAACGCACAATTCAACTATTTAACATTATGTATTTAAATGCACAATTCAACTATTTAATAGTAATTGCAAACACATCAATCACATTAATTTTGAAAATAAACCTTTCAAAGAATAAAAATGGAAATTATTCTCATTAGAACATTTCATTATTATCACTCAAATTGAAGTTTATTATGTATTAAATTTATTAATATGTATATGAATGAAAGGACATAGTCTTTGTGACTGCAAAACATTTATTGGGTTTGTGCGTTTTGAAAAGAAATACTACTAAAGTCATTGTTTAAGATGTATTCTGCTACCAAATTATGTTCAAAGCATGGAAGTAGTGAAGACCTAGCGATGAAATAGTTGGAGGTTTCTGGCTTTCACTCCAAGCAATAGTCGCCCATTGTGCTTGTCTTTGCTCACGTCCGTAATTCTTTTGATGTGTTAAAAACACTTTGTGTTCCGTCATCAAAGTCCATGCTTGTCCACTCAACATATAGCGTGATACCATTTTAATGGGATCCATTGGAAAATACCATAATACACTACATTTCAAGAAAAAATATTAATATGTGTGTATATATAGATATATACATATATTCTCAAAAAGTCAATACATATTATTTCAAAATCTTATAAATAGGAAATCATACAAAAGGAATTATTGCAATTTTTCAAAATATTACAAATATTGATCACATTTTGAATAGAGATATAATTTATTTATTTTCTACTCTACTGCACAATAAGAAAAAATAATACAATTTTTTTGTAAAAATAACCAAGAACTCACTCATATATCCAAACAATCCCAGCCCATTTCCAACCACATCCTTGGATCTTTGCAAAATTCCAAGATGCATAAACAGCTATTAAAGTGGCAAGCAGTTGAGCGATCACAAAGGCCCCTAGAAGCCAAAACCCGGGCCGTTCCATGAAAGACCACCCGTGTGAGCGAGTCACGAAAATTAAGGCTTGGCTCACAATACTCACTTGTAAATACACCACTGCTGTTTCTTGGTAGGGGTTCTCCCTAATTTGTGAGGCCTAAGGGCAAACTAAAGCACACATGGATTGATAATTTTGAATGGAGGAGAAGAAAACTATGCATATGTGTAAAATAATCTATTTTTAGTGTGTATAAATATGTAAATTAATTGTTAGAAATAAAATTTGGCCAACAATGAAGTCAACAAAATAATATGAATAGGATGTAATTACTATAAGAAAATACTTGTTGGATTTTGTTTATTTTGTTTATTAAACACACCCCACATGTTTTCTGGAAGAAATTTGTACAATGGACAAGATAAAAGAATATGACTGTCATTAATGCTTGATAGCCACCTAGGAATATGCCTTGAATGAATAGCTCCTTGAGCTTCCATGAATCCGGAAATTGTGATGGGATCACAATATCCTACAATTCCATGCAAACAAATTGTGAAATGGATTGCATTTCTTTCTAGAGGAAATGGAAAAAAAAACATGTGTGCATGTGTACACATACATCTATATTTGTATAGATGAACTAGTCAATCTTAATTGGAAATAACACATCAAAGTAACATACATGTTAGGCTAGTATAGTCTTCATTTTAAATCTACCAATATGACCAAAAACTTGTTTAGCTAGGAATATGACTTGATAAATTTGACTTCAAATTCTATTCATTGTTCCTTTAGGGATGAAACTCATTCCTTAGACCATTTTTTAGTGTGCAAACTTACTTTTGATATGGTCATAATTGTTCCGTCGTTTAGAATCGCAATTACAAGGACCATGAAAGGTGAGAAATCAAATCTCCATATTAGTGCTAATAGCATGAAACCAACAACAATCCGAATAGTGATAGATACTGCATATATAGTATAATTCTTCATGCGTTGGAATATACACCGGCTTGTAAGAATTGCATGTATTATCACACTCAATCCTGTATGAAGTACCATTCTTTCAACAAATACTTCTATTGTATGTTGGCAAACACATAGAAACCTAAAATTTAGAAAAATAAAAAAAATAAACAACAACAAAATCTTGTGATTTCATCATGCTTTGCAATTTCTGGAAGCAATCACAAGGTGTGAGCAAAGTTCATTTTGTTAAAATAACAAAAGTAACAACTCTGTCATTGCAGAATAAAATATGCTTGCAAGTATATTTCAAAATGATTATATATATATATATATATATATATATAGTGTGTGTGTGTGTGCATACCTGGTTGTGTTAAAACAATATCAGCTGCGTTGCGAGCAGCATCAGTAGCATCAGCAACTGCAATGCCAATGTCTGCTTTCTTCAAAGCTGGTGCATCATTTACTCCATCACCAGTCATGCCAACCACATGCTTCTTTTCTTGTAATACTTTCACTATTTTGTATTTATGTTCGGGAAAAACACCTATAAAAGTAGAACAATACACTTAGTTGGAAATATCTAAAATCCTGAATTAATAACATATTTTGTAATATCAGATTCTTCATTTTTTTTCAGGGTTTCATTATCTCTTGGGCAACATCAATAAAAGTAGTTCTGTTGCTAAATCAATCATATACAACAAGTTTCATAATTTACAGGAACTTTTGTTTTGTAAAGCATTACCCACATTTATTATAATCCACATCAACATTCACCTCATATCAAAACTAATCAATTCAATAATATTAAAAAAAAAAGGTAAAAAATTAACATTAAAAAAACTGAGGTGTTTAAAACTTATAAGTTAAAAAACAAGGAATGTTAAATAGACCGAGATTTTTACTAAATTGACCTATCTATGATGAAGAATATGGTAATTACGATGAATGTGATTGGTTTTCATTGATTTTGGATCCAGTAGTGAAGAAATGAAACACAAGTTCTTTAGTTTTTTTCATAATGGTTAGGATAAGTGGGTCAATTTAACATTCCCCTAAAAATCAATATGAATTTGTAATTTTTTATTATGAAAAAGATGACAAAAAATTCAGCTCACAAATATTCACAGAGGATACAATATTACCTGCAAATCCATCAGCTTGTTCAATAAGTTCACCCTCATCCACACCCACTAGGGATTGGCTATGTTTTCCGTGACCGAATAATGCCGTAGATGGATACATGTTGGTACCCATCCCCAATCGTTGGCCTGTTTCTTTGGCAATTGCCAACTGATCACCTGTGATCATTTTGATGTTCACGCCCAGTTCCAAAGCTCTGTGCACAGTGTTGCTCGTGTCGTGCCTCGGTGGGTCAAAAAGTGGAATGATCCCCAACATTTGCCACGGACCTCCTTGGCTTTCTTTCACACCATCTGGCACTTCCTTTTGCAGCACCAACACAGTTCCAATTGAATTCTCTTTGATTGTAATACTTCACTTTATTACTATCACTGTTGATAATATTTAACAATTGAAACAACAATTATTTGCATCAGTTGCATTAGGTGTGTGTGAATTATAGCCATGCCCTTCTAATGTAACTAATGTAATACAATCTGCTTAGTGTAGGACATTTTTCATGATATAATCTAAAATTATATCCTGTATTAAGGCATTAAATGTTATGAGATGGCAACATTAAATGTGGGTTTGACATGTTTCTCATTGGAGGAGGTGTTGCATGCCAAATAATACCATGTTTGGCATGCAACAATTTTAAAAAATAAACTTTGCTTGGTTTTATTTTGACTTAACAATGATATCTACTAAAGTCCTACATGTCTTTTGTTGATAAAAGTTTTGTGTCCCATGTTACTTAATGTACAACAAATAGAACAATATCCTACATTAGAAGGGCATGACTATGATCCTAAGTGCAGGTTGACAATGAAACTCAGCACAAACTTTTTATGCAGCAAATTTATATATTTTACATTTTGATTTGTTTAATTGGTTTGTGGTACCTGTTTCCCAACAGCAAGGCTACGAAGCCCTCTATCAGCAAAACGCTTGATAACTTCATGTACTTTGGCACAAATGGCTTCTTTGTTGTGGGCAAGCTCCAAGATTTGTTCTGGGGCACCTTTAGTTGCTCGGTACATTTTCCCATCAGGAGTTGTGTAAGTCATGGCAGTGCGCTTGTTGGTGGGATTGAATGGCAAAAAATGGACTTCCTCCACCCCCTCCCGTGCTTCTTTTGGATCCGCTAGCATGTTGCAAATAGCTTGATCAATTGCATCCTTTGTTTTTTGAGATGTAAATTGCATGTGAATCTTTTAATCAATGGGTGGCATTACATTTAAAAGAATAGAATAGACATAATCAACAGCATTTTTGTGGGGTATTTATTGTTATGAATTGAATGGCTGCCGTAAGATGCTGGGAATGTGTGAGACGTGTACAATCGGAGAAGCGTTACACATACAAACTTGGTTTGTAAAGGAGAGGGAGAAGAAACCTGGTTTTCGATGCGGGAAGCCCGTGCCGCAGTGAGCAAGATGGCTTCCTTGTCGATGGTTGGGCTTAAGACTTCGATGGCATATTTGTCGACAGTAAGACGATTCAGCGTTAAGGTGCCAGTTTTATCAGAGCACAGGATGTCCATGCCAGCCATTTCTTCGATGGCAGTGATCCGTTTCGTGATGGCACCCTGCTTGGCCAAGCTATGGGAACCCACAGCCATCGTCACTGACAACACTGTCGGCATCGCGATGGGGATGCCGCCGATCAACAAAATCAGCAAGTTCTCGACGCCGACACGGTACTTCCTTCTCTGGACCGGGTACATCACAATGATCTCGATGACCATGCCCAGCGCGATCGTCATGATGCAAAAGTTCCCGATCGATTTCAGCACCTGGTGGAAGTGCCCTTGCTGGTGAGTGGTGTCCACAAGATGCGCCGCTTTCCCGAAGAAAGTGTGTGCGCCAGTAGCGATCACCACAGCTTCAAGCTCCCCTTGCTTGCATATGGAACCCGAGAACACCTCATCACCTGGCCGCTTGATGACAGCCACAGACTCTCCGGTCAACGCAGACTGATCGACCGTTAACGGATCGCCGTCTAACAGCCGAGCATCGGCCGGAATGATGTCGCCCAACTTGATGGAAATGATGTCTCCGGGCACTAAGATGGACGCGTCCACCTCACTGTACACCTTATCTCGAAGCACCTTCGCCTTCAACGCGAGAGCCTGCATGAGCGCTGCGGCGGCTTTCCCCGCGCTCGTCTCTTCAATATAGCTCACCGTGGAGTTGATCAACAGCAAGCAGATAATGCCGACGAAGTCCTGCCAGTCCGGCGGCAGATTTTCACCGTTGTCGAGCACAAGCGCCATGAGGGCGGCGAGCTCCATAATCCACGACAGCGGGTTCCACATAAAGCTCAGGAACTTGAGCAACAGATTCTCGCGTTGCTCCTCCAGTTTGTTGGGACCCACCAGTTGCATCCGAAGCTCCGCCTCGTGGGACGTCAATCCCTCGCGCGTGCAGTGCAGGTTCTGAAAGACTTCTTCCAGCGGCACATTCTCCAGGTCGATCATGCATCTGCCTAAGTGCGATTGCTCCTCATTTTCCACGGCGCTCGTGCCCTTGATCACATGAGCGTCGTCGCCTTGTTTCGCAAGCTCCCCCGCACCTTGGTTCTGTTGCATCGACGATCGCATCCCCGCTGGCTTCATTGCATGTTCGCCCATCTCGGGCCTCTACGACCCCATGCGCATCTCCGCTGATTCCATGCTCTCTCTCAATCCTCCATCACTGCTACGAAACCCAAACCCTAATTTTTCAAACCCTAATTCTCCACCACTGCATCAGTCGGTTTGGGTCTTGCAAGGACTCTGTGAGAATGGGATCTTAATCGTGAAGTATTGAAAGGAAAAAGATGAAAGAAAAAATCAATATCAAATTGAAATGCATCCTCAACTTGTGAATTACACCATAGTATTGAGGTTTGCTACCACATTTTAATTTGTTGTCGTTGTTTTTTGTCTTCTTCTTCTTATAACGAAGTTTGAGTTTAGATTGAAGAATTTGGTACGATGATAGAAATTGAACGTTGTTGAGGATGTTTCAAACCAATTTTTATTTTACTTTTTTATTTTTTGTGGATTATAGATGTGTGAGTGATATTGTTAATTGTAGACACCCTAATTAAAAGCTGAATACAATGGTTTTAATCGTTTTGCGCATGTGACTACATGAACGTGAATCAACAGAAAGAAGAGAAAAAGAAAAAAAACACGATATACTTAAGAGTGAGAATATTAAAATTGAAAACTGAAAACCAATTGCACGATTGGTTATTATTGTATTGAGAAATAAGTTGGATAATGCATTATAATTATAATGCATGGCGCTTAAACCAAATGCATATAATTGTATTGTATGAATATAAAAACTGTTAAATACCTTAGCATATACAATACATTTATTTGAGTCTTTGAATAAGAAACAAGTAAAGAAATAAAATTATACATATATAAAATATGGTATTTAATAATAATTTATACTAACATGGAAGACTCTTGTTTTGCTTCAAGAGTAACATACTAAAGTAAGACATTGCAGTGTAATTGAAGTATAGCCTTAAAAATACTTAAGTTGGAAGAGAAATTAAATATCATTATAATAACGTCTCTCATTATTTTTCCTTCTCAAATTACACAAAGTCATTCATCAAGATATTGATGACTATTAATTGTTGTTTGGCATTCCTCAACAATTATTGTACTACAATTTAATTGATATATATATATATATATATATATATATATTGTCTTTTCTTTTCTTTGAAGCATAAAATTGTGTTGAAACAAAGAGCCCTGAACTCTATGTGATCTAAAATTGTTTTGTGTACATGCAAACAATTAATAGATGAAATTCAATTAATTGAATTCAAAATTAATTCATCTATTAATTGAATTCAAAATTAATTCATCTATTAATTGAATTCAAAATTAATTCATCTATTAATTTTGAATTCAATTAATTTTCTTCGGTATTTAATTTGTTGATATTATTTGGAAACATCAGATTATTAGATTTTACCTCTCAAATATTGATATTTTAAAAACACCAAATAAGATTATATATATATATATATAGATATATATAGATATATATTTCATTACATATATTTCATTACAAAAAAATTCAATAAAAAAAATATATATATAATTTATATATGATAAAAAATTAATATATATATATATATATATATATATATATATATTATTGTAATTTTAAAAAATCGAACTATTTATTTGTTTAAATATAATATATTTCATAGATCACTAGATCTACTCAATTATAACTCATCATTACATATATATTTGCAAACATTTTATAAAATATGTGAATTCTTTATTAAAAAAACACACACATATATATATATATATATATAGTTTTTAATTATATTTGTATATATATAAAATAAAATAAGATGAGTTTTTATTGAAGATTATTAATATATTATTTTTTATAAGAAATTTGCTTCAGAATTGGTATTTAAAATTTTAATTGTTTGTAAAAAGTAATGTTTTTATAAGTATATTTGCAAGTTCCTAATTCTTAAATATCATTAAATTATGTTTGATTTTTTTTAAAATTTTTTAATATAAGTTATGTTGATTTTATATAAATAGTTGATTGTTCTCTTTTTGCACGATTGTGTGTAATTAAATATGGCCAAAAGTAAAAATGCACACTTGCTTGGATAACAACCACAAGAATGTCATAATGTGCCCATGTTTCATATCAAACTAAAGAAATTGAATAATGATATTGGCAAAAAAAAAAAAAAAAAACATGTTTTGGTTTCTAATAATTTTTGCACCATAGCAAGAATTTATATAATTGAGTTTTAGAAGCAAGATTTGCCACATGCATACATATTGATATTTTTTGTACATGAAAACAAACCATGGCACAAGACATCAACAAACTCATTAGACTTGTGCAAGCATGGTTTTGCTATGAGCTACATATATTATATCATATGTAGAGACTGATATTATCTTCATATGATCTTCAACTGTATAAAAGAGGATACATTCTTTGAGCCAATAAGTCTTTTCAAAGAAAGACCATAGTTTTAAGTAGTGTCTTTAAATAGATCTTATTAGCAATGCTAAAAAGAAGTAGAGAAGATATTATGTAGGATTTCATGCTTTGCTCACAACCCATGTAATAATGGTTCATTTATGCACCAACATGCAATTTGGAAATTTTATCTTTAATCAAAAGAAATATTTTCTATAATGGAATTTGGATATTAGTGATGGTATTTTTTTACTATTGCAAAAGTAGAAGGTGCAAAACCTAACTAGATTTCTATTCTTCTAAGCTTAGAGTTTCTTCCAAATCAAAAAATTTAAACAAAGTTTATTAAAGTAGTATATTTTAATATAGAAGGACAATTTAAAGATACTAAATACTTCATAAAATATGGTATATTTGTGCCTAAGAATAAAAATATCAATAATTTTAATAATTCTATCTTATCTTTTATATCTAAATAATTCCATCTATTTTGAATTATCAATATTTTGGAAGTAATAGATAATATTATATCTTCCATTATTAATAGAATTGAATATATTGCATTTTATCCAATTGAATTTCTTGAGGCTTAAGATATAGCAAGAAATCATAATTAATTTAAAATTAATATTTAATTTGAATTGTTGTATGATTTTAATTAATTAGTTGGAGTATGTAATAAAATGAGGGTTATTCTAACAAAGTTGAAGTTGCCTATATTTGAGGTTGAAATCATTAAAATAAAATATTGGCATGAATGTAATTATTTCTATTCTATGTAGCTTATGTAATAATCGTTAATAATAGCCAAGGTCTTAGGTAAAACAACCTCTCTTCTAATAAGGTAATTGATTCACATTATAATAGTAATTTTTTTGAATTATTTAAATAATTTATTAAATTGCTTCAATTGATTTATCTATTGTTATATTTTTATTCTATTTATTAATTTATGAGTGTCAATTATAGGATTTTAATTGTTTTAATTTACTATTAAGTTTTTTTATTTTTATTATATATTTTTAATATTTAATATTTATATTTTATTTTTAAAAGAAATTATTTTACTTTTTATGATATCATTATATTCTATGTTTTGTTATTGTATTTAGTAGAATATATAGTTTTTTTATGAATTTATCCAATTAATAATTGTAAGTAATTTTTGCTATGTATGGTCTTACACTATCTTAACTTTATAAAAAAAATTACTTGCAATTTTATAATTTAACATAATAAAGTCTATATTAACATAGCACTTTGCAAAATACATATGAACTACCATGATATAAGATTCTTCACTCAACAATTATAGCACATACATCTCTCACCAAATAAAATAATCAATGAATCAATAACTAAACAAATGTATTCAAATAAAGTTGCTTCAAGTACATTGAAGAATACTAAAACAAGTCAATATTAATAAAAAAAATCAATGAAAGAAAAAAAATTAAAGACATAAGTGAATAGAGTTGAGGAGTATAACAAAACTAAGAAGAATAGTAGTAAGACACATCAAAGACAAATTAAAGCAATTAGATGACTAAATAAGATCAACAGTTAATATAAGAGTAGTAAGAGAAAAATAGAATTTTTTTAAGATAAATTAGAGCAAAACAATAAGGACAATTATTGCAACATTAGAAAATTTTAATAGTCTGAGGCAAGTAAAATACAATATGATGTCAAAATACAAACATATGTAAAAACAAATCTGCCATTGATAAAAGATTAAAACTATCAATGTCTATTAAATCTTAAAAAAGATGACAAGACTAATGGATTTATATTTTTGCTAAAAAAAATTAAAATTCAAAGTATTATTAAAGAAGACAATAAAATCACTTGATCTACAAGATCCATATAATGTGGATAGAGATCATGGCAATATAACTAGGACTTCTCCTATCATAGCAACAATAATAATTCACAATAATAGTATTTAAAATCCTTCTAAGATATATATACATATATATATATATATATATATATAATTTTTTTCTATAATAAAAATCTCATTTAATTTATCAATAATTTTCTTAAATTTATTCAAACATCTAAAAGACAAAAACTACTTGTTAAATCTTAATAAATCATATGACTATAATTTCATTTTATTTGTTAAGCTAAATTTATTTTTTTAATCACTAATTACACGTAATTTGTAGAAAAAAATTATTAAATTATTTTAAAAGCTTGTACAAGGCTTAGCTCTTTTAAACAGTGATAACAACCACTTACCCATCAAACTTCCTAAAAAATGAATTATTGCCCTATTAATGTCTTTAGTACTATTATTGATTCTAAACCTCTTAAAGTCAAATCTAAAATTAAATTAAACTTATTTATTTAGATTTAACAAATCCATATATAAAATCACTTCATCTACAAGATCCATATATTAAAATTAGCCTAAAATTATCTATACAATATAAGATCTAATACAAAAGATATGATTTTACTCCCTCAATCCTAGGAATTCTAACATTAATTATTTAATATTACTAAATTATGTACATTGATCCTAAACTAGCCTTCTAAATGCTTATTTTGAGTCTTACTTTTAATCTCCAACATCTTCCTATCACTATTTAACAACAACAACAAGACCTTTGAGGGTGAAAGGACAAAGAGTTGAAAGCTCTTATTATCTCTTACATCCTAGTTGCAATTGTATTTCTGATATCTATCCTAATTGGATTTTTCACTCATCATAATCAAAAAATCATCATGTCTTGATGATCATTTGATTAGTCAAATACTATTATTAAAAATAATATAGTAATTATCCAAAATTTATTCTACTGTGATAATTTTACTATTTTAAATTATCAATCCACTAAATACTCAGTTAATAGTCTTTCATTTTTCTTCTTTTTTAATATGTATCAAGTTATATGTTTCTTGTAGATTTACTTTGAAAAAATTCTTTACTTTATTCAATTGATGAAGAAGTCATAGTATCAAAGGTAGATAATATATATTCTTAATGGTGATTTTGTTAAATTCTTAATAATCTACACATTTGTAATCACCCATCATTTTGCTTCACAAACAAAATAGGAGTACTTATTGGAGAATTTGAATGGCTTATGAAATTTTAAATCAAGTTTTTATTAATTTATTCTTTCAATGTAGCTAACTCATTTTGTAATTAGCTATAGATTGGT